TCTGCAGCTCCAGATAGGGGCCCAACAGGCATTGCAAACTCAGCGAAGCCACCTGGTCCTCCCCAGACATGCCCATCCCAGGACATTTTCCCGGCTGCCCAGGCCACAACCCCTCAGGTTAGCCTTGACTTTTTCTCATATCCACGTCCACTTCATTAGCAATCCTGGCGGCACTGCCTTCAGAATAGTTCCAGAATCTGGCCAGGTGTGGTGGCTCACGCCCGTAATCCCAGCACTTTGGGAGGCCGAGGCGGGCCGATTACTTGAGGTCAGCAGTCTGAGGCCACCCTGGCCAACATGGTGAAACCTCATCTCTACTGAAAATACAAAAATGAGCTGGGCATGGTGGCATGCACCCATAATCCCAGCTAGGCTGAGGCAGAATTCTTGAACCCGGGAGGCAGAGGTTGCAGTGAGCTAAGATCACGCCACTGCACTCCAGCCTGGGTGACAGAGCAAGATTCTGTCTCAAAAAAGATTTCCAGAATATGCCCACTGCTCTCTCCACCCTGACCCCACATGGCCTTGTCCTCCGATCCCTCCCTCTTGGCTAGCCCTGGAAGCCTTCTCACTGGCTCCCTGCTGTCTGTCCTTGTCCTCGCCACAGCCAGAGGGATCCGTGAGTACCTCAGTTGGGTCATGTCCCACCCCTGCTCAGAGGCCTCCTGTAGCTTCATCTCAGTAAAAGGGCAAAGTGGTCACTGAGGCTCCTAAGACCCCACCTGAGCCACTCCACCTTCCTCTTCAGCCCATCTGTCTTGCTTGGTCCACCCGACCTGCTTTGCTGTTGAAACTCCAAATTCCTTCCCGAGTCAGACATTTGCATCGTCTCCCTCTCTGTAATCACAGCTACTCAGGAGGCTGAGGCAGGAGAATCGCTTGAAACCGGGAGGCAGAGGTTGCAGTGAGCCCAGATTGCGCCACTGCACTCTAGCCTGGGCAACAGAGTGGGACTCCGTCTCAAAAAAAACCTCTCTGGATGAGAAAACAGACCCAGGAAGGGAAGGAGTTGCTTGAGGTCCGTCTGTGAGTGGCTGACTCTGGGTCCCCACCCAGGTCCACCAGTCAGTGTGGAGAGCAAGTGTGTCAGACCCTGCTGCTCTGGGAAGAGACCCTCCCAGGCCAGGCGTGGCAACTCACGCCCGTAACCCCAGCACTTTGGGAGCCCCAGGCAAGAGGATCACTTGAGACCAGAAGTTTGAGACCATTCTGGCCAACAAAGTGAGACCGTGCCTCTGCGAAAACTAATCATTAGCCAGACGTGGTGGTGCATGTCTGTGGTCCCAGCTACTCGGGAGGCTGAGGTAGGAGGATCAGTCGAGCTCAGGAGCCTGCAGTGAGCAAGTGATTGTGCCATTGCACTCCAGCCTGGGTGACAAAGCCAGACCCTGTCTCAAAAACAAAAAAAGGGAGGCCCCCAGCCCTCCGCCGCTGTGCTCCTGGCCGGAAGCCTCAAGGGGAGCGCATGTAGGGCGGGGGGCCTCATGAATAATTGAGGGTCTCAGGCGACCGCCCCGCAGATGTCGCCCCGCCGCGGGCAGGGAGGGGGCGGCAATGACATCACTTCCTCCCTTCGGGGCCGCGTGGGTTATAAGGCGCTGCAGTCCCGGTCCACACAGCTCCGTGGACCCGTCGGATGCCCACCATGCTGCCCCATGAGCCCGCCTCCCTGCTGCTGCTGCTGCCGCTTCTGCTGGGAGCAGGTGAGTGCGGGACCCGTAAGGGGACCAGGAGCAGGGACTCGGGTGGCCAGGGCCGGCGGTGCACCTAGCAGAGGCTTCAGGGTCAAGCCTCCGGCTGGGACTGTGCACCTACCAGGTGGGATGAGGGGGTATGTGTGGGGATCGGGAAGCCCATGGAGCTGGGGACAGTACTGGGGACAACAGCCAGGGCGCCCGAGCCCAGCACCAGCCTCCTTTCTCCACAGCCACCGCTGCTCCCTTGGCACCGAGACCCTCCAAGGAGGAGGTGAGGAGTGTGGAGCCCTTGCCCTGCCTCACCTAGCCGGGCCCTGCCCTCCCTGCACAGCCTGCCCCATGATCCCCATTGCCCTCAAACCAGCCATTCTTCTCCCCATCCCCCTCCCCTCAACCTTCCCTCTGACCTAGCACCCCTGCCCCCCAGCTGACCCGCTGTCTGGCAGAGGTGGTCACAGAGGTGCTGACCGTAGGCCAGGTCCAGAGAGGACCCTGCACGGCTCTTCTCCACAAAGGTAAGGAGGCCCCAGGTCCCACTTGCCCTCTAGAGCCCCATCAGACCTCACCCCACCCCACCCAGGGTCCTGCCCAGGTGCCCCACGTGCCCTCCCGCCCGGGGTTCCTGGAGGAAGGGGCCCTCATTCCCACAGCCCTTTTGCTTGGGCCAGTGGGGCACTGCCAGCATTCACACCTGCCAGAGCCTGGCCACCAGCTGCACCCTTGTGGCTCCCAGCAGAAGGACCAGGTGGGGCAGGGCACATCCCCTCCCTGGTGGGTTGAACTGGGACCCTCCCCTTCCAGTCTGGGCAGCCCCCCGTGAGACCTCAGGCAGGGCTCAGAACTCTTCAAGGCCTCAGTTTCCCAGTTTGAACTCCTGACCTCAGGTGATCGGCCAGCTTGGCCTCCTGAGGTTACAGGCCTGGGCCTGCATGCCCAGCCTCAGTTTCCCAATTGGATGCTTAGAGAGCATCCTTTCCCTTTCTGCCAGAGATGTGCGGAACAGAGCCCCACGGCTGCACATCCACTGAGGAGAAAGGCCTGCTGCTTGGGGATTTCAAGAAGCAGGAGGCTGGGAAGACGAGGTCCAGCCAGGAGGTGAGGGATGAGGAAGAGGAGGAGATAGCAGAGAGGACCCACAAGTCCGAGGTCCAGGAACAAGCCATCCGAGAGCAAGGGCACCGCCAGCTCCACCGGGAGGAGGACGAGGAGGAGGAGGAGAAGATGGAAGAGGAGGAGGAGGACAGGAAGAAGGGGCCCATGGAGACCTTCAGTGACCTGTGGCAGCACCATCTAGAGAATGGAGGGGACCTCAAGAAGCGGGTGGCAGAGAAGGCCAGCGACGAAGAGACGGCCCAGTTCCAGGCAGAGGATAAGGGGCCGCGAGTGCTGGGCGGGGACCGCAGCCTGTGGCAGGGGGCCGAGAAGGGCGGAGGAGAGAGGCACGAGGACTCGCCACGCCGCCACCACCACCACCAGCAGCCAGAGGCTGAGGCCAGGCAGGAGGAGGAGGCGGCGGCTTTGGAGAGGGAGGTGAGTGGGGGATGATGGAGGAGCGCCAAGACAGTGTGGAGGGAGGGTTAACCAGATGGTCAGTGGAGTTACAACTCAGCAGCCACCAGTGTTGGCCGTACACCACCAGATCCATCACGAGTGGATCACAGTGACCAAGACTGACCCCAGGACTGGGTAACAACTTCCGTGCACGGCCTCCTCTGCTTCATACTTCCATATACGGTATGGACTACGGCAGCCAAGATGGTGCCATTATTGCATAGAAGCAAGGCAGTGTCACTAGCAAGTTGGCCATCACGAAAGTGGCCGCTGTGCCTGCTTCACTAGGTGACAGACACCACTGCTGGGTCATGGAAGACAAGGTATCTCCATGATTGGTGGCAGTAACCAGAAGTGTCATCACAGGCTGAGCATGGTGGCTCATGCCGGTCATCCTAGGGAGGGGTAATCCTTTGGGAGACCAAGGCGGGAGGAATCGTAGAGGCCAGGAGCTGGAAACCAGCCTGGGCAACATAGTGAAACGCCGACTCTACATATTTTAAAAATTAGCCAGGCATGGTGGCACACGCCTGTGGTCCCAGCTTTCAGGAAGCTGAGGTGGTAGGCTTGCTTGAACCCCGGAGGTTGAGGCTGCAGTGAGCCATGATTGTGCCACAACACTCCCAAACTGGGCTACAGAGCAAAACTGTCTTAAAAAAAAAAAAAAAAAAAGGCTGGGCATGGTGGCTCACACCTATAATCCCAGCACTTTGGGAGGCTGAGGCAGGTGGATCACTTTGAGGTCAGGAGTTCGAGACTAGCTTGGCCAACGTGGTGAAACCCCATCCCTACTAAAAATACAAAAAATTAGCCCGGGGTGGTGGGCACCTGTAATCCCAGGTACTTAGGGGGCTGAGACAGAAGAATTGCTTGAACCCAGGAGGTGGAGGTTGCAGTGAGCTGAGATCGCGACACTGCACTCCAGCCTGGGTGACAGAGCAAGACTCCATCTTAAAAATAAAAGTGCCCCCTTCTGCAGCACATATACTAAAACTGGAATGATACAGAGAAGATTAACATGGCCCCTGCGCAAGCATGACATGCAAATTTGTGAAGCGTTCCATATTTTTTATATTAATTTTTTAATTAAAAAAAAAATAAAGTGCTGTCACATCGCAAGGCACTCATGCCAGGCACCTTTGCCAGTCCCATGCCGCTGCTGTTGGCTGTGGTCACATTAGCCACTACTGCTCTTCCAGGGTTATGGCAGTCAGCATGGTCACCATCGCAGTCCACGGTGATCAGAATGACTGCTGCTGGCTGCCACTGTGAGAACCGACGTGGCCCACGTTCACAGTGACTGAGGTGGCCTGTCTTTGAAGGTGGGTGCTGACCACCGCCTTTCTGACCCCACCAGGAACAGGAGGTGGAGCGGCTGGAGCACTTGAGAGACGAACTGAAGAAGGTAACGGAGACACTGGGGGAGCAGCTCAGGAGGGAGGGCTGACCCCTGCCTTGTGCCCTCCTTCCTCCCGACACACCCTGTGGCTTATGTCTATTGACCCTGAAGCCTCCACCTCACCTAGCACCCCACAACACCCCTACTGGAGCAGGGGAGAAGATGGGCATGCCTTGGAACCACACCCGAGTTGGGTAGGGGACTGGGGTCAGCCCTGACTCAGGAAGCACCCCCACACCCATGCATTCCCACTCCAACCCTTCTGAGTAAATAAAGCACAAAGAAACACACCCTGCCTCCATGATGTGACAAGGATGGGCCCCAGAAGGACCGGGAAGACGACATCAGTCTGGTTTCTGGTTTTCAGAATTGGGGTTTTATTTATTAAATTGGAAATTATATTAACAATCAAATGAATCAGATGGGGCCGGGGTCGTCAGGAAGAGGTTTCGAGGCTGGGGTGGGAGGCAACCGGGTTTGGCTGCAGCCGCTGTGAACCACAATGTCATCGTATTCATCCTGGGGGCAAAGGGAACCAGGCAGAGGAGCTCAGACGTCTTCACAGAGCAGCCTAAGAATTTTGTCTTGCCCCAAAGCCCAAATTCCCCTGCTCCTGGCTTGCTTCCTAGCTCTCAGAACTCCATTTTCCTTTCTTTTCTTTTCTTTTTGAGATGGAGTCTCGCTCTGTTGCCCAGGCTGGAGAGCAATGGCACGATCTAGGTTCACTCCAACTTCTGCCTCCCAGGTTCAAGCAATTCTCCTATCTCAGCCTCTCAAGTATCTGGGATTACAGGTGCCTGCCACCACGCCCGGCCAATTTTCGTATTTTTAGTAGAGACGGGGTTTCACCATGTTGGTCAGGCTGGTCTCTAACTCCTGACCCCAGGTGATCCACCTGCCTGGGCTTCCCAGTGTGCTGGGATTACAGCATGAGCCACTGTGCCCAGCCAGAACTCCATTTTCAAATTTACTTCTATAGTCGGAGTTCTAGCCCAGCCGACACTCCAGCATTCCCGCAACTGAGGTGGCCCTCCTCCACCCCTTCCCTCCGCCTTTACCCAAATCACTGCATGCCCGTCATTCAGCCCCGCGCCTTGCCCAAGGTCAGGTCTGTATTGCTGGGTTCTCTGACTGCATCTCTCCCCGCCGCTGGCTTGGGTCCTGCCCCACCACTGCTGGTGTTCAGATCACTGCCACCCAAGGTTATTTCATAGCCTGAATTCTCCAGCTCCGACGCTGCCACCCACCCCTACCTGTGTTCACCAGTCACTACGACCAAGGTCTTTTCTCCAACTCTGGCTGAGTTCTACTTTTGCCACCACCTTAGCTTTTCAGCCACTTCTACCCAAGCTCTTCCCGCCTCCCCTTTTAGGTCTCTCCTGACTAGTGCCCCATGTCACAGGCGCTGCCACCTGCCTGAGTTCTCCAGCAGCAGCAGCCCGAGGTCAGTCTCCACGTGCACCTAATTATCTTCTCCTGCTTCCTGCCTGCCGGTCTACCCTGACCCCCCAGCTGGGCGGCCCTATCTCGCCTCCTGACTCACGCCCTCGTCTCCGCTGTCGCTGTCGCTGCTGCTGCTGCTGCAGGGGCCGGGTTTGTCGTCCTCGTCCTCAGGCTCAGGGGCTCCGTGTTGACGGAGGAGGCGGGCAAGGATGGGGTTGGGCCGGAGCGTGGCACTGCCCAGGGGGCTGCGGCCGCCGTACATGCGGGCAGCAGGGTTGGCACCTGCCCTCAGGAGAAGCTCCAGCACGTCGGCCGCCTGAGCCTCCACTGCCAAGTGCAGGGGGCTCCGGCCACACGTGGGCTCCTGTGGGGGTGCAGCAGAAGGGTCAGAGGACCCGAGGAGGGGACCAGCCCCCTCCCGATGACAGCAGCTTCCCCCAGGGTGGGGCTCACCGGTTTGTTGAGGTCAGCTCCGGCGTCTCGGAGCAGCTGGACCATCTCCGCATCTTTGTGGATAATGGCCACGTGGAGAGGGGTGTGGCCTGGGGACAGAGTGACGCATCAGATGATGGGGTGAGGGGTCCCCCATATCTTGATCCTGGGGGAGGGCCATGTGGCCGGAGGGTGATCAGGTGTGGGGCTGGTTCCTGAATCTTTGGGTATGTCAGAGAGGTACGTGGGTCCTAAATGCCTGTGTCAGATGGCCTGAGCTTGCCGGCAAGTGCTAGAGCCTGGGCTTTGAGAAGCCAGGGGCCCATGGGTGAAGAGCCTGGGGTTTGTGGATGGGGGGCCTGGATTTTGGGGCCAGAAGACCTAAGTCTCTGCTCTTATTTCACAAAGGACCTGAGCTGGTGCGCCGGCTCACGCCTGTAATCCCAGCACTTTGAGAGGCCAAAGCGGGCAGATCACGAGGTCAGGAGATCAAGACCATCCTGGCCAACATGGTGAAACTCCATCTCTAGTAAATACAAAAAATTAGCCAGGTGTGGTGGCAGGCGCCTATAGTCCCAGCTACTCGGGAGGCTGAGGCAGGAGAATTGCTTGAACCCAGGAGGTAGAGGGTGCAGTGAGCTGAGATCACACCACTGCACTCCTCCAGCCTGGTCGAGAGTGAGACTCCGTCTCAAAAAAAAAAAAAAAAAAAAAGGGTACCAAGTGGCTGAAAAGCCTGTGATCTGGGGGTGAGAAGCAGGCCCTGAACACTGGGTCCTGAATGACCTCAGTCCATCTGAGGAGAGGTCTGGTACCAGGTGGGCAGGCTTATAGGTGAGGGAGCAGAAACTTGGATGCCAGGCTGTGGGCAGGTGACTCCTTTTTCCCATGAGGCAGAGGAGGGCTGTCCCTGCTGCCCATCGCTGGGAACCTGGGGTGCCAGAGTTTCCCAGAGGGCCTGAGCTCTGCATTCCCTGGTCCTAGGTGGGGTAGGGATCCCAGCTTGAATACACTCTGCAGGTGGGGAGCCCAGGGGCCCAGCAACTGGATCCTGGCAGCTCTGGGTCTGTGAGTGCCAGGTCTGCGTCCCAAGTGATCTGGGGTCTCCAAGTGGGAATCCTAGGTCCTACACATCCAATTGTCAATCATCTGGGCCCTGAGTGGAGGTCCCTGGTCCCAATGCCTGGGTTCCTGAAGCCTAGGCATGATTTCTCAAGGAGTTCGGTCTGGAATCAGGGAAAAGAGCCCAGGGCCAGGTGCTCTCGCCTAGCCTGGGAGCTCAGTCCTTCCCTGGTGGCGACCCTCACCCTCATAGTTTTCAGCCTCCAGCTGTAGCTTCCAGTCCTCCTCACTCTCCTCTTCTTCCTTCTCCAAGTCGGAATCAGGGTACAAGGCGACAGGGGTATGGTTGATGTCGGGATTATGGTCCGGGCCCTGAGGGAGGTAGGTGTCCGGGGCTTCCCTGGGCCGCCGGGGGCGGGGCTGAAGCAGGGCACGGGCACAGGCATGTGCCCCCACACGGCAGGCCAGGTGCAGCGCCGTGTGGCCCCCGCGCTCTGCCACACACAGCCCAGCGCCTGCTGCATATAGCTTCTCCACCGTGGATGCCTCCCCCAGGATGGCTGCCAGGTGCAGGGCCGTCTGCAGAAGCAGAGGACAGGCAGTAGGGAGTCACACTGGGAACCCCAGACCCCAACCCCTACTCCGTCCCCTCGTGGCTCACCTGGCCTAGGTCATTCTGCAGGTCCATGTACTCAGTGCCGGCTGAGAAGCCTAGAAGAAAATCCAGGAAGGGTTCGTGCTGATGAATCACAGCCAAATGCAGTGCCCTGGGAACAAAGACTGGGGTCAGAGGGCAAAATTCAAGTCCTCTTGCATTCCTTCATTCAACAAACAGGGGGTGCCTACTGTATGCTAGGCTTTGGGACCACAGTTCTAGAACCCACTGTCAGCTATCTGGGAGGGTCAGAGAGGTCAGAGTTTCATCAGCAAATTCGTGGAATCAACAATGTTTATTCAGTGGGATTTCCACTTCTGCCCAAAATGAAGTAACATGGACCAGACTTCCCTCCCACAAGAAACAAAAATCAGACAAAATACGGTATATGAAGGAACAGTGTTGAAGACGCTGGACGTCATGCAATGAATCACAGTGGCCCCCGAAAGACAGGAAACATGAGGTGGGCCCTACACTTGACGGTTGAGAGAGGGGACCCCAAGCAGAGCCCATCAGGTTGTCTGAGGTCAGGAGATGGACATGGAGGAAGAGTCTGTAGAGACCAGGCTTGTCAGAGTCACAGGACAGAGTACAAAACAGAGTTGTTGGCCAGGTGCAGTAGCTCACACTTTGGAGTGAGCTAAGAATCAAAGACCAATTAAAAACTAAAATAAAATTAATAAAACCAAATTAATGAAAATTAATAAACCTAAAGTGGGTTCTTTGGTAAGATCAGTATTTATTAAGTGCTTCCTGGGTCAGGCACTGCTTGCATCACTGGGCATACGGCAGTAAACACAACAGACAAAAAAAACCAGTACAGTCCCTCATCTGGGCCTTTGCAATTGCAGTTCCTTCTGCCTGAAATGCTCTTATCTTGTTTATCTATTGCCTCATTTTCCTGCTTTATTTTTCTCCAAAGTACTGACAGCTTGTGACTTTCTTTCCTTCTCTTACTTTGTGTTTCTTTCTTTCTGCATGTCTTTGTTTCTTTCTGTCTTTCTGTTTCTTTCCTTCCTTGCTGTCTTACCTGTTTATTTAGCCCCACTAAAATAAAACGTCTCCTTCACAAGGGCTTTCGTTTTTGTCTGTTTTCTTCACTACCTTTACCACTAGCACCTAAAATGAAGCCTGGAATGTGGTAATGTGTAAAGAATATTTGTTTAACAGATGAATCCTTGGTGTCATGGAGCTTACATTCTTTTCTCTTTTCCTATTTTTCTACTTCAATTAGGAATTCAACATAGAAGAACTTACATTCTCACTCTTTGACTTTAAGACTTGAAGAACACTGCTCAGAAGACAAGATCTTAGAGTCAGGGACCAAGTATTAATTTCGGAAATCAAAGTCTAAGGCTCACATCAGGAACTAAGAATCAAAGATTATATTTGCAGGTTCGAAGTCAGGAGAAGCCACAGTTCCAACAAAAGCCTCAGGATTGGAGTCGGGTTTGGGTATCCGTGGATAGAATGTGGATTCCAGGAGCTGAGAATCATAGTTCAAGAAAGGAAGGTCTGAAATGATTGGGTTAGGATCACAGCTGGATAAAAGATTGGTTTTGTTAAAAGTTAGGACTCAGGGGTTACAGGTCAGGAAGTTCAGCATCGGAAATCAGATTTAGGAGTAGGAGGTTAGGAAGCCTCAGGGATCAGAGACTAATGAGGAATCAGACGGCGGGTCCTAGGGCTCCGTTTGGCAGCCTAAGGTTCACTCACGTGTCCCCATCCTCAGTGACGTAGCCGAAGACGAGGGGCGCCCACGACAGCCCCGGGCCCAGCTCGGCGCCCAAGCCCGGTCCTCCGGGGGCCGCTGCGTCCGGACCCAGGGAGCCCAGGCCGCTGTCGCACCATTCATCTGCGTCGGCAGCTTTTCCCAAGCACGCGACCCCAGCCATGGCCCCCGCCACCTCAGGGGCCCCCCGCAGTCGCTCGCCTGTAGCTGGGCTTTGCCGGAGTTCTGGCGCTTCCGCCCTGCGGGAAATTCCCCACCACGCCCCCTGATTCATCCAATGATAATATGCTGAATCGCTCGCGCCCTGCCCTGGTACCGTATCCTGACCAATCAGAGTATTTGGGAGGACTACGACTCACTAGCCGTTTCCACATCTTCCGGGCGCCCTTTACCAACATGGCTGCTGACGCCGCGCCTTCTGGGACTCGTAGTCCGGCCCTCGCGCGCTTTTTTGCTTAAGACTGGGGCGCTCTGGCTGTTGTATGAAAGCGCGGCTGCGGCCGCAATGGCTACTGGGAGTTGTAGTTCTAAGCCCTATCCCGGCCACTCCCATTTCTGGTGCCGTCACGGGACAGAGCAGTCGGTGACAGGACAGAGCAGTCGGTGACGGGACACGGTGGTTGGTGACGGGACAGAGCGATCGGTGACAGCCACGAGGGCTTCAGCACCGCGCCCATGGCAGAGCCAGACCGTGAGTCGGGGACCCGGGTGGGAGGGTCGGGCCGCGCCGGGGCCTAGCTGAAGGCTACAGGCCCCGGGGCCCGAGGGCGGCCGCGGCGGGGCGGGAAGTAAGAGCGCTTCGGGGAGTGGGATTCTGAGGGCTGTTGCTAAGCGATCTGTATCGCTAGGCTGGTGGGTTTCTGGGTCGCAGGGTGTTCAGGGTTGGTTTACCACATCCGCTTGCCAAGTTGCCAATAATGGCGTGTTTTTCGCATCTTGGTTGCTAAGGACCCTCGCTGCAAAGAACCTAAGTTGCCGCGGTCCCTGTTGCAAAGGGTACCTGATTGTTAGAGGCAACCGGAGGATGCTGAGGGACCCCTGTTGTCCCCTCCTATGGCTTCCCTTCGTATCCGCGCCTCTCCCAACCCTACCGCCTCCACTGCACCACTGCACCTCCCTCCCAAACCTGCCTCCCAGCCAAAGCGTCCCCTCCCTTCTCTCTTCCTTTCTGAACTTCCCTCTGCCTTGTAAATCTAACCCTCCCGCACACACACTCGCACACTGCCGTGTCCTTCCTAACTCCTTCTGAGTGTTCCTTCATGCCCTGAATCCCCTAGGCAGGAGGTAGGAGGATCGCTTGAGCCCAGGAGTTTGAGGCTGCAGTGAGCTATGATCGCACCACTGCATTCCAGCCTGGGTGACATGAGCCAGACCCTTTCTTTAAAAAGTAAAAAACAAAGAAAGTCAGGGCCAGACACAATGGCTCATGCCTGTAATCCCAGTACTTTGGAAGGCCAAGGTGGTTGGATCACTTGAGCCCAGGAGTTCAAGACCAGCCTGGGCAACAGCCCCTACTTCTCCCTGTCCTCCTAAATCTTCCTCCCCAGCCTCTCTGCCCCTCACTAATCACCTCTCCGGGCATCACTTTGCATGCAGATAAGATCTTTTCTCCCGTCCCCTCCTTCCCTCTGCTCCAATTTTACCACCACCCTGTCCCAGTGTAACTAGGTTGGTGGGTGTTCTTGCCCCTCACTGACAATTTGAACCCTTGTATTCCCCCCTTAATCGTTCTCCCCACTGTAACCACCTCTGCTCCCCTCCCCCAGCCTCTCACCCTCTGGAGACCCAGGCAGGGAAGGTGCAGGAGGCTCAGGTGAGATGGGGGAAATGGTGGAGGGGAGGAGAGACATGGACTTGTTCCACATCCCGTGCTGGGGGGAGGTGGCAAAGGAGAGACAGTCACCCCAGGGCCCTTGGCTCATTGTCCCAGTCCTCACACCACCCAGTGCAGCTTTCTGGGGAAAGGCAGATTCTGGGGATTGTCACAGAAGTCTGCAGTCTCAAGTCCAGGCCTGCCCTCCCAAACTCTCCTCCTTCCTTGCCACTGCCTGCCATCCCTTCTAAACCAAATTTGTCCTGGGCCTGGAAGAGACAGGTGTCCCGTTTGGTCTTGGAACACACAGATCTCATGGACAAGCAATGGGAAAAATGATCTCACAGCGTGATGATGAAAGGAACTCGGGGTCAGGGCGGGGGAGGCAGGTGCAGTGGCTTATACCTGTAATCCTAATAACTCAGGAGGCTGAGGCATGAGGGTCACTTGAGTCCAGGAGTTTGAGGCTGCAGTGAGCTATGATTGCATAGCTGTACTCCAGCCAGGGTGAAAGAGCAAGACCCTTTCTCTAAGAAGTAAAAAAGAAAGAAAGAAAGTAACTCAGGGCCAGACACAGTGGCTCATGCCTGTAATTCCATTACTTTGCGAGGCTGAGGTAGGAGGATCACTTGAACCCGGGAGTTTCAGACCAGCCTGGCCAACATAGGTGGCCCCCATCTCTACAAAAAATTTAGAAATTAGCCATGTGCAGTGTTTCATGCCTGTAGCGCCAGCTACTCAGGAGGCTGAGCGGGGGGAGGATTGCTTAAGCCCAGGAGGTTGAGGCCGCAGTGTGCCGTGATTGTGACACTACACTCCAACCTGGGTGACAGAGCAAGACCCTGTCTCAAAAAAAAAAAAAAAAAAAGGAATAAAAAGAAAAACTCAGGACACTAGCACAGAGAAAACTTTCTGGGTCAAAGAAGATTCCAGCCAGACCAGTCCCTGGAGGAGTCTGCAAGCTGGTCTAGCTGTCAGACACAGCGTAAGTGAAGAGTGACTTAGAATTTTCTTAGACAAGGTGAGAAATGGTGGTCCACACGGCAGGTGCAGCTTGTGCAAAGACCTGGGGGCACGAAGGAGTGTGATGATGTGTTCCATAATTGGGCGGCTGGTGGTGGTCGGCTCGTGATAGTCGTGGTTAGCGTCGACTGACAGCTTACTTAGGCTGGGCACTGTTTAGTGACAAACGTGCTTCATCTCATTTCATCTTCCTGGCATCCCTGTGAAGAGAAATGCCTATCATGGCCATTTTACAGATGCAGAATTTGAGGCAGAGTTGTTAAGTCACTTATCCTCTGTCCCTAGGCAACAGGAGTAAGGAAGGGTTTGAGGCCGGGCACGGTGGCTCACGCCTGTAATCCCAGCACTTTGGGAGGCCAAGGCGGGTGGATCACTTGAGGTCAAGAGATTGCGACCATCCTGGCCCACATGGTGAAACCCCGTCTCTGCTAAAAAATACAAAACTTATCTGGGTGTAGTGGCGCGTGCCTGTAGTCCCAGCTACTCAAGAGGCTGTGAGGCAGAAGAATTGCTTGAACCTGGGAAGCGGAGGTTGCAGTGTGCCGAGATCACTCCGCTGCACTCCAGCCTGGCACCTGGTGGCACAGAGAGACTCTGTCTCAAAAAAAATAAAAATAAAAATAAAAAAAGGAAGGGTTTGAGTCCCCTAGCACTGGGCGCACTGCCTGCCAGCAGCTGCCAGGAGAGGTGGGCAGGCAGTCTCATGGGAGCTTGAAGGCACCCGCCAGCACCTCCAGCTCTCCCTTAGGCCAAGCTGCAGGCACATGCTGGGCACAAGCCCTCCACAGAGCCTCACTGTGTACAGCCTGAAAGAGCGCCAGCCCACCCACACCCCCGAGATTGCCTTTCAGATGGGGGGCGGTGCAGAAGTGGGCATCAGAATACCTCACAAATGCACAGTGGAGCCATGCTGAGGGTATAACAGCCTCCTGTTAGACTGTGGCAAGTCACTCGCCTGGCCCCCAAAGCACCACCACTGTCAGAGAAAAAGGTTGAATGTGAAAAAGGAGCCTCAGTCCCAAAGAGAGAGATGCAAAATGCAGCATTGTCCGTCACAGGGCCAAACTGGAAACAGTCCAAATGGCTGTCAGTGGATGGGTTAAATGAACTATGGTTCATCCATACAATCCAGTACTATGCAGCTGCTGTGAAAAATGAGGTGAGGCCAGGCACGGTGGCTCACACCTGTAATCCCAGCACTTTGGGAGGCAGGAGGATCACTTGAGCCCAGGAATTCGAGAGCAGCCTGGGCAACATAACAAGATGCTGTCTTTTTTTTTTTTTT